TGTTTACTGTTTACTTGATTAGTTGATTAATTGTTTAGGTTATACAAATTGATCATTCTTTTCTGTTTACTGTTTACTATGTTTTAGGTTTCATATGTTGATTAGATTTACTTATTTACATTACTCATTACTGATTAGTGATTACTTATTATTGTTTTCATTACTTAGATTTACATAACTCATTCATTATGGAAAAATATTTGAAACGAAAAGCTTCATCATCAACCGGTAATGATGCATCCAACAATGTGATTGATGTTAATGATCTTCCTTGGGATCCATCCGAAAGACCCAAAATTATAACTTATAACCCAAATCTTCCTTGGTGATGATTTTTTGAATTCTGCTCTCATTTGCGCCATAAAAAAGGAAGCCCTTTGTAATGTTAAAAACGAATATGTCATCGATCGTTTCCAAAAGATGAAGACACGCCGAGGACAAATTTAGGAGTTGTTTCTCAACATACTTTTTGGGTATATATTGACCGTTTTCAAAAGATGAAGACGAGTCGGGTAAAAGTTTAGAAGTTGTTTATCGGTACAATAAAAACCATATTTTTTGTAATTATTTTTAGATATATATTATATTATATTAATTATATGGTGCCACCGTATGAAAAATTTTCTGGGTCCGTCCCTGATTGAGATACTTAAAATATGTCACCTTATTTTTATTGTATTTTCTTATAAAATTACAAATTAAGAAACTATAGTTTGAGAGAATATTTCCTACTTCGACATACATAGACTAATTCTCAACAAAAATACCCAGTATATTAACTAAGAACTACTTTTACACCAATGATGTTTTACAGAAAAACTCTTCATATAAGTATCGTCCCATTACATAATCCATTTGAAGGATTATTATTTTGCCATAGTTTTATCGGACGCCCAATTTAGAGACGAAAGCGATGAGGAGACAAATCACTAACAATTAACGAGTATAAGAATTCCAAACAATAGAAGTTATTCTTATCGTAATCTACATCACCGAAAACGTAACAAACTTTCTCTCTCCACAAAATCTATGGATAATTATTAATCTCATCGTCATTTTCTTTTCAGATGATAATATGACCTTCGAAATGATATAATCTGAAAGAGCTCAGTTGATTTACAGATATAAAAAAATAGCATCAATCAGATCATATAATCCCAATGCAAAACCCTTCAAAAAAGATTTGGTTTTTTCCTTAACCGATTTAAGGGGTTGTTTACCAAATCTTTTATTAAGTCCTGTATGGATAAATTTATCTGTCCAGATAAATTTGTCTATCTGGATAAATGAGTGTTGTAGTTTATTTTTTTTTATTTGAACCAACAGTCTGAATAACATAAATGACCGATTTACCCCCCAATATTTAATTATTTGAACATCAAAACAAAAAAAATCATAAAGAGGCTGACGATACGGTGTCTCATTTGGGAAGGAGACGGTGCTTTAAATAAGGGGCATGAGTGTCATTTTTGTGACTGAATGAGGACAAAACACCATTTCTATCTTTGCAATTAAGTCATGTTTTGTGCGAATAAACCGTAAGTAAACAACCCAAATGAATTGTGCGAATAAGCCAGATAGACCAATAAGTCTAATTAAGCCGCAAGTAAACAACCTCTTAATCATTCTTAATACAAAAACTAGTTTTGATTTGCGCCGACGGAAATGTATAAGAAGAAGGTGACAAAATAATTATTATGAGAAAATAATTAATTGTGGCAAAAAGAATAGAATAAAATATTATTATAATAATTAAATGATATTATGACTTTGACCCATGTGACTTTTGATGTAATTGCATACGTAGTCACGTACATAATTCACAAAAAAACAATTGATTCACAACATCTATAAATAAGACTTTTTAAAAGCAATCAAGATTCATATCACAAAATCAATGGCATCAATCAACATTCCTCTTCTTACTCCGTACAAGATGGGAAACTTCAATCTCTCCCATAGGTATGTTTTCTTCAACTAGCATTTAGTTGTGCATCGGATTCAGCGTAAAGATATTTTCAGCTTTTATTTGCACGTATAATTATACTGATTTTAAACTTATGCATGTACAGGGTTGTGCTTGCACCCTTGACGAGAAACAGGTCTTATGATAACATGCCACAACCACATGCCGTTTTGTATTACTCTCAAAGAGCGACAGAAGGTGGTCTTCTTGTCACTGAAGCAACTGGGGTCTCAAACACAGCCCAAGGGTAAGTCCTAAAGGCTTATGAGTACATTTATTTAAATTGTGTTTGCATTTATAGTTTTCTAATCATTTTTAGCAGCAACTCTTCAATTAATGTTTAAATGATATTAATATTGATAAAAATGATTCGTAAGGTATGTTGAAACACCTGGAATTTGGACGAAAGAACAAGTGGAAGCATGGAAGCCGATCGTGAAAGCTGTACATGAAAAGGGCGGTGTATTCTTTTGTCAGATTTGGCTTGTCGGTCGCGTCTCAAACTATGGTAAATCGTGTTTTGATATATAATTTCTTTCAGTCTGATTAAAATCTACATTTTAATTTTAAGTGTGGATTTTATATTAAAAATATATTTTTTTAATTATGGAAAACTAATGTTGGAAAATGAGGAATATTCATCAACTTTAATTATTGGATGGGGGTCTACATGGTTTATGGAGGCATTATTTTTTTTAATTTATATTTTTATAATCCTTAAAATACAATATTTTTTTTAATAATATATTATAATCTTTTTATAAACTTATAACCAAAATATGTAAAATACTATGCTTGTGTGCAAATAATTATAACATTTTTGTGCAAAATGAATTATGCTTATTGAAATTTTATATCTTCTTTATTTATCACAAAATCAGGATTTCAACTCAATGGTGAAGCTCCGTTATCCTCGACGGACAAAGAACTAACACCAGGGCTAGCTGGTGGAGACTGGTCTCCTCCTCGTAGACTAAGGACCGACGAAATCCCAGCTCTGGTAAATGATTTTAGGCTAGCGGCACGTAATGCCATTGAAGCAGGTTAGTGCAACTACCTTATTTAAACTATTATATTCTTTGGACTACTCTTAACGTATTCCGTTGTACTTGTATAGGATTTGATGGAGTAGAGATCCATGGAGCAAATGGATATATTATCGATCAGTTTATGAAAGACCAAGTGAATGACAGAACTGATCAGTATGGCGGAAGCCTAGAAAATAGGTGTCGTTTTGCACTAGAAATTGTAGAAGCTGTAGCGAACGAGATTGGAGGTGACAAAGTTGGTATAAGGTTATCGACATTTGCTGATTACATGGAGTGTGGCGACTCTAATCCTGAAGCCCTTGGCCTTTACATGGCTAATGCACTTAACAAATACAAGATCCTTTATCTCCATGTAATTGAGCCAAGGATGGTGCAAGTCTGGGACAAATCAGAAACTCCGTATAGTACTCTTCCGATGAAGAAAGCTTTCAATGGTACGTTTATTAGTGCCGGTGGTTATAAGAGAGACGACGGAAATAAGGCCATAACCATCGGTAATGCAGACTTGGTTGCATTTGGTCGACTTTTCTTGGCGAACCCAGATTTGCCTAAGCGATTTGAACTTGATGCGAATCTTAACAAGTATGACCGCGATACTTTTTATATCCAAGATCCAATTGTCGGCTACACGGATTACCCATTTCTTGAGGTGTGACGAGGGTAAGATTATGTTGTATAACTAATAAAAAAATGAATAAGATTTGGATACCTTGTATTTTCTTATTTAAATAAATTTCTAGATCTAGTCGCAGGCTATGTTGCATAACCCTTTGAGGTTTGAAATTTTGATTTTCTTTCGTGTTCATTTTGAGATCAAATATGTCATATATTTATGTTCTTGATGAATTTTTAAGCGATTCCAAAGTTACAAGTTTCTGAGCATGGTTAAGTGGTACATATTGAACTTAGGTGGACTAAGAGTTGCGTGACTGGCCATACGACTTAGGTCGTGGGCTAATTCAGCTTGCGTAAGTCTCTGTGAAGTTTTTTTTTTTGGGTTTTGTGATTACTCGTTTCGATTAAAGTTATATCTTCGTTTACCAAATCGAGGTGAGTTTTCCTATAACATTTTTCGAACTGAAATGCACATATTATCAAATGACTGCCATTTCAATGTTATATCGATTTTGTATATTTGGATTATTACCGTTAACTAGGGGTGTGAATAGGCGGGTACCGGCCCTTTTTTACAGGAACCGGAACCGGCGGTTCTTGAGATATTGGAACCGGAACCGGTTAGAGCGGTTCTTGAATTTTTGGAACCGGAACCGCCGGGAACCGGTTCCGGGTACCCGCTTCCTAAAATATTAAAATTTTGTTATTTAGAAATAAAAAATAAAACACTGCTAAAACACTAAATTAAATTAACAAGAATACAAATTATACGGAACAATGGTTACAAATATTGTTTAACGATTACAAACCATAATAGACCAATAGAAAATATTCAAAGTTTAACGATTACATACTATAATTGTGCATGTTCAAAGCTTAATGATTACATACTACTAACTGTAGTTTAGTAGAACTAGAAAGTAGAAGAAGAATGTAGATGAAGAATGAAGATGACCGCGTCCTTTGAAGATGTAACCTAATATAAATTTGGTATTAAAAAAATTAATTATTTTTTTATTGAAAAACACCGGGTACCCGCCGGTTTCAGTTCAGGGTACCCACTGGTTCCGGAACCGGCCCCGACGGGTAATGATTTCGAAAAATTGAGAATCGGAACCGGAACCGTTCTCAATCGGTTCCGTATTTTGGGAACCAGAACCGGAACCACTCATATCGCTTCCGGTTCCGGAACTGGCGGTTCCAAGGCGGTTCCGGTTCCGCTGCTCACCCCTACCGTTAACTATGATAAAATTTTGAATACATTAATACATGTTGGAAACTAACACATGTAGTGTAATTGTTGATTAAGGGTAAAGAGACTTACGCAACAAAAGTCTGTGTGCATTACGACTATGATGGTACGCACAGGGATACATATACATAGTTGAGTTTCGCTGAGAAAGAAGTTATGGTGAGAAGTGTAAGATGAGATCTCCACTACTGGATCTATCCTAATTGAATGTCAACACTAATTAAGTGCACCAAGATGCACCATACCAATTTTCATCTAAAACACAATTCATGGGTAGACATGAGATTAAAAGTGATGTCAAAGGTTATTTTGAGAAGTAAATAAGTAATCATAGAAATTCATACGGTCAAGATCGGATTTGACTAGTCAATAATTACGAATTTGAACCTTTATATAGGAAAAAGTTCATTTGAGAATTGGTAAATATTTGAGAAGTAAATAAGTGATTATATCCCTTCATCCAATCAACATTTGTGGCTTTGACCGTGAAGCACCGGATAATTTCTTGCACGAGTATGCAGAAGATAGAGAGATAGTTTCGTAACTTTTACAAATAAGCAACAAACGGATTCATATGTGAACTCATGTGATACTCATATGAACTATACGTTTATATGTAAACCCCTTAATTAGTTCATATGTGAACCGAACATTCCCTTAGATTTATAATACTCACAACGTAAGTGTGAAAAAAAAAAATACCACCACATACAATATGCTAAACAAATTTTAATTTTTCAACAGCGTTGCGTTATCAAGAAAAATGTCGATTATTTTATCCTTCAATTTTTAAATTTTAATTAAATTTATAGCATATTTAATAATTACTTTTATGAGTGTGGAAAATCAAATATTGCAATAAAATGAAACAAACTTTATTTATTTCTATTTTGGGAAACAAAGTTTCAAATTCCTCTTTGAATTGTGTGTACCAATATAGGCATGCGGATAACGCGGGGACCTCAATCCCAGTTTCCGTCTCTGTCCCCGATTACTCATCTCTATCCCTGTTTCTGTCCCCAACCCCACCGGAGATTATAATCACATCCCCATCCCCAACGGGGAAACGGAGATTTTTTTTTCCGTTTATACAAGTTATTTTAAATTAAATATGTGAGAGATCATACATGTTTAAATCTCAAACATTTTTAATAAACCTAAAATCAACATGAATTTAATTTAATACAAAAAAAAACCATAACATCATATAAGAACTAATAACCTAAAACAAAAAAAAATCAATTTAATCCAAAAAAACTTAAAGTCATATGTACCAAAAGATATTGAGTAATATAAAACCATATCGAGTAATATACAGAACTTGTCGAGTAATTGTATTTTGACTTTATATCCAAAATATTACATATTAACATCCAAAAAGTAACAATTTTAGATTATAAACCTAGTTAGGAAATATGAAATTATGAATTACCGTTTTAATTGAAATAAATAATATACACATATATATACATATATATATATATATGTGTGTGTATATATATATAATTTATTAATTAATATATATGTATATATAACAGGTACGAGGCAAGGTGGGGAGTACCATACCCGTCCCCGTCCCCATCCCTATCCCTAGTTTGAGACAAACGGGGATCCCTGTCCCCATCCCCAACCGGTGTGGGTGGATCGGGTTCCCCGACGAATCGGGGCCCATTCTCATACCTATACCAATACTTATTTAAGGTTGCTAGTAATTTAAATCATAATATAAAAATTACCATATCATCATTAAAATAAAATAACTAAAACCGAATCCAACAACAAAAGTAAAATCTTAAAGCACGTTGGAAAAGATCTTTGCTTATTGGAAATAAGACCCATTTCCATTTCCATTTCCATTTCGATTTCGATTTCGATTACAATTTCAATCTTTGTCAAGGAACCACAGTCTCTTTTCAATCCATGATCTCTCTTTTCAATCCCGTATGAACCATACCCATGGCTTAAAGAACACATATTAGAAATGAGAGGTTTGTGCTTGATTCAACTATTGCTAACTTGTATGAAACATGTAGTTTCAGTGGCGGTGAGAAGCCGGGAAGGGAGATGGTCGTCGTGAAAGGGTCACGATGATGGTGAGGGAAGCGAGAGAAGACGGGGTTTATTTAGTATTTTTTTTAAGAAAAAAGTTGAGTAACATGTTTTAAAAAAACATCTACGTAATATTCTTTTTTTATCTGTTTATATTAGTTTTTTAGATATAAACATCCACGTAATATATTATTTATAATTTGCCATATCATAAAAAAACTATCACTAACTTGCTCAATCGGTCAATGAGTTTCTTAAATAAACACAAACTTTGGTCCGTACCTTTCAATGAATATTCTGAAAGTTGGTTCCTCAAAATAGAAATTAACCCAAAATTTATTTTGTCTTTGACCTGTAGTTCAACCGGTGACTAGGTGTGACGGCTTTTCCCAAATAAAATATATGTCTCGGGTTCAATTCTACCCCATCTCTATCCTTAGTCGTTGATCAAGCCACAAAGTGTCCTTCATTGATGTCTTTAGAAACGGATTTTATGTGAGACTAGTTAGAATTACTGATAATCCAACACAAAGCTTATTTCATTTTTCTTAAGAAAATAAAAAAGAATATTTTAAGGGAAGAAAATAAACTTAAAAAAGCAAATAAACCATGAAAAAGGTCAAAGGGGAGAAAAGACAAAAAAAGAGGTAATGTCGTAGGCCACTTATATAGGCTGCCATTTGAAAAATGAGTGTTTAGGTTTCTCTAATTGGGCCTTAGTCGGGTCGTGATAACGGGCCCAAAAAAACCCAGTGTAACCCATTCGAAGTAAAACTAACACCATATTTCTGACTAAGATCGCTTGAACATGCAATTACTTTCCATATATATATATATATATATATATATATATATATATATGTAAGAATGGATCTCCACCCTTGGATTAATCATAAATAAAGAGAAATACTACATCAACACTAATGAGAAGCATGAGATCAATTCATTTCTAAAGCGCAATTCATGTGTTGTTTTGAGATTAAAAGGGATGAAGGGTCTAAATCATTTCTTATATTTTCACCTTAACTCCTATTCTTGCATGATCACTTCTCTCTCTCTCTCTCTCTCTCTATATATATATATATATATAT